AGTCTTGGGCCGGATATGTTATCGCTAGTGAGAATGAGGAATGAGGGAACAACATCCTTCTGACTTGGAGGCAAATGGAAGCTCTATGGGAAAAACATGCCTATCCTGAACTACAACATCTGGCGTAAATACAGGATTTAGCAGCTATGCTTGCATCTTTGAGTTGAAACACAGCCTGCGATTTTGCAAAGAAAAGGCCACACGTCTTGAAGACTCTGCCAGATGCGAGGCCTCATCTCGTCTTCATCACCCAGGTCTAAAGCTGGAAGACGAGCATCGCATCACCCAGGTCTACCTGGCACCGTGCTCCCACCGGACGTCCGAGCCCCGACGTGCCGAATTCAGCGCCAGTTGAAGAGCACCGTGACCCGACCAACACCATCGGAAGCTAAAGGTTTGTGCAATCTTCTTGCGTGTGTCTGTTTTGATTGGTCTAGGGAGGTGGAATATTCACTTGGGATCACACTGCCGAAACATGGTCAAAAGAGTCATCAAGAGCAACAATCAATGATGATGATGACAGTGATTCGCAGTTCACCCCAAATCTGACCCTTCAATGTGGCAGCTCTTTGCTGCCACACATATTTTTTCATAAACAACTGTCCGATCTTCTAATTTTAGTTGAACTCTTGAAGGCTGCACATGTGCAAGGAAGGGCTTGACAGTTGCACTGTTGCATGTTGCAAGGACAGTCTGCCAACGGTCCGCTATCTGGCCAACGGGACCAACGGGTTCACATACCAGGCCTTGCGGTACAACCGGATGGGTAAGGACTTTCTTGATCGCGATGAGTTAAACACTTCAAGCCTCATCTGAATCTAGATCCTCTGGATTGCATCATGCGTAGCTGCTCAGCGTAGCTGCTCTTCCGCGTCCGGTCTTCCCACATGAAGCTTCGGGAACAAAGAAAAGCATGCTTAAACCCCTTGTGGCTTTAGGGATCGAAATCGCTTGGTCCCATGGCTTCCGTTTTTGGTTCAACCTCTCTCGGCATCCGGGGGAAGATCCAAGGAGGATGGCGCTTGTCCCAGGCACTGTGAGGCCTTGATGCACGTGGACGGGTCGGTGAAGAGGTAAAGAACACATGCTGAACCAAGCCTAAAACATCCGAGGAAAAGTGAGAACACGGTGGCGTTTCTGTTCATTTGGGAGATAAAGGTGAATGGAACATGTTGGTTTCCCATCTCATGACTTATACACCTTTTCTAAATCTTCTAGGTGCGGGGTGAGGACCCGTGTGCAAGTGAGATGTGTTTAGATGTTGTTCGTTGGATGTTCCTCTCCACACGAACTGATCACGGGAATTCTGAGCTCAAATGATCTACAAGAAGAGGGACTGTCCGCTACCAAGGTGGGTCTCGATCTGATTTCTGGATGACGCTCAACACTCCAATGGAGTTCTATCCAGCCGGCCCTTGGTCGCTCTTTAGATCTGACTGGAAAGGCAACTAAACTGCATCAAATCATATGATCGCACTCCTGTTGATCGGATGCTTCTTTCACACAAACCTCCAAACGGCGCTTACTCGGACCGGTGGGCGAAGCACTTGACGTGTGCCCTGGCTTTGCCGCAGCGCTGCCGGCCTTGAAGGCTCTCGTATACACCACCGTTCTGGGCAACGGCCGCAGCTACTCTCCGGGGTCCAAGCCGAAATAGCCTTGTATAGGTCTACAATGATCTAATTGGAAGTGCGGTCAGTCTATTTGGGTACATCGGTGCCTTTGTACATACCTTTGTCACATTTTGTCACGATGGCGGACTGTATTGCACCGGAAAGTGGGCACCATGACACGAGTGGGCAGGAAACCTTCCTGTATCGTGCGAGCGGTCATCCTGGCCTTTCGATTTACCGAAAATGCACAGCAAACTGTGGCGATCTGCGAGGGTTTGAAGGACACGGACTTCCAAACCTCTCCAGCTCTGTAATCGTATACACAGTCTTGATAGGCCCGAAGCAAAGTATGCCGCCGCCTTCATGAAGTCGAAGGGGTTGGCGAGTGTCTTTAATTAGCAAAAGAGAGTAATCTTTTCTGGCGGACACAGCGTTCGGCCACAACTTGGTCTGCAACAGCAAACTGCCGGCACTGAGTCACTGAGGATGCACATGACAACCACGTTTCTCAAACACTTCCAGCTGGGAGAGAAAGGAGCAACAAAGGAAAAATCGACTGGGATTTGGTGCTACTGCCTCTCTTTGCGGCAGTTGCATGACCCTGTAGCACCCCAAAAAGTCACGCAGCACGCAGTCGGACTGCCAGCTAAGTGTGGCAGCTTCGTATGTCCAGGTCGAGATTGGATGTGCTGATCTCTGCCGGGCATGGCTTCGACACCTAGCCTATATTGTCATTGGTAGCATGAGGAGGCCACAGTCACACAAGTCCTTGCACAATGCGCTCTGCCCGCAGAGACACCAACACCTGCACTGAAGCTGCCGATCGGAACAACTTGAAGGCCCTAGATGCCAGCAAGCTGCAGCAGGCAATGCCTGCAATTGCCTTGCTTCAGATGGAGTTGCCGAAACAAATGCCATTGGCAGGGTTTTGATGTGCTTTTGATACCGCACCCACTGGAGGGTTTCATGCCACGGAAAACGGGTGCTCAAAAACTTCACACAGCTCAGGGAGTGAGTTCCAACAAGTGATATAAGGACCACAGGCAATCGCTTCTCAGCCAGCGGACCTTTCCTTGGAGTCTGAGTGATGCGCTAGTCCTTCTTTCACACGTGCGTCTGACGATCTGCACGCAGAAGGTTTTAGCAAAATAGCCTTAAAGGACCGGGGAAATTCACCCGAATGACTCATAGCCCATTCCACAAACCTCTCCAGCTCTGTAATCGTATACACAGTCTTGATAGGCCCG